AAAAAAAAAAAAAAAAAAGAGATTATCCTATGCTATGATACAATCACAAGGGTCCTTAGGAGAGGGAGACAGAGGGACACACTACGACAGCAGAGGGGTGAGCTTTGAAGATGGAGGAAGGGGCCGCAAACCAAGGAATACAGGAAGTCACTCAAAGCTGAAAAAGGCAAGGAAATGGGATCTCCCCTCAGAGCCTCCATGAAGCATCAGCCCTGCTAACTCCCTAATTCTAGCCCTGTAAGATACTCAAGAAGATGAAATGAATAACAGCCATGTGATTTGGGGACTTCAGCCATTCCAGGAACTCTGATCCCTCAGCCAGTCCGAAGGGGAAGTTTTATTAGGTTAATCAACAGGCCCTTGGTTTCATTTTCTATTTCCCTTTTCATTAAGAACTTTTGCCCTCCAAAACTATAAGAGAATAAATACACATTGCTTTAAAGTCTTTTTCACGCTCATTCTCTCACATGCATGTGGGGAGTGTTCCAGAAGCTACATGATGTGTGATAACACAACAGACTGAATGCAGAAGCAGATGTACGAAGTTAGCCATTTTCTATTGAGACAGACATTAAAGAGATTTGCAAAAATGTGCCACTCTTCTTACTAAATTTTTGTTTTGAAAAACAGCTATTTTTCATAAAAATATAACATGTGATGGGATTTGAAAGGAGGGACCCCAAGAATCTTAGGATAGACTTAGCTTTAGCGCAGCCATTTTGCCCTAGTGCAGCCATTTTTGCTTAATCTTTACCCCTGACACGCTTTGTTAGGCAGTCTGCACGGCCTGCACAGCCCTCTTACCCTATAACCATTAGCCACCTTTCCGGAAGTTGGTTCCCAGGACCAGTTTCCCAGAGTCAGGCCTTAGAATTCAGTGATTACTCAAACCCCTTAAGCATGTCCAGTCCTACTAATAATCTTTCTTCCAGCCATTTGTATCAATACATTGTTATCAATATATTGTTATCAGCCATTCATGAGGACCTCCAGCCCACGACCCCACCATCGAGAGGCATCTGTATATCACCCGACCATGACAACCTCCAGCCCACCACTCACGGTCACGAGATGCTAGTGCCTGTCAATGTCAAGATCTAAGACTTATATGGCTGCTATGGACATCAAAAACCGCAGCCCTGGGCATTCCTTTCGGCCTAAATCCTTCCAGGCCCAATACCCCCTTGTTCGAAGGGTCTTAAATATACCCAGTTCTCAGCCCTTCATGGCCACACATGCCTGAGTGCCTGCCCCTTTCCATCTGTGAAAGGTGAATAATAAACTTTACTTTCTTCTGTTTCCTTCTTTGTTGCAATCTTGCATTATTCCTGCGGCACTGGCCCGCCTTGCCTCAGTTTACCTTTTCAGGTTTATTAATATTTTTAACTAAATTATTAAATGCCTATTTTAATTTTATTGGCTTTAAGTTCTAATATATAGACTGTAGTGACAGTTATAACCTACATAAACAGAAGCTTTTGGGGGTCCTCAGTAATTTTTAAGCATGTTGTGATACTTCATTGTTTGAAAATAAATCTATGAGAAACTGAAGGGGTAGGGAAAGAGAAAGTAAAACTTAGTACCTACCCACCCAGGTAGTGTAAACTATGGATAGGGAGTAAATGGTATGGATAATTAAGAAGATGAAATGAATGACAACAAAGAGGTTTGGGAACTTCAGTCATTCCAGGAACTCTGACCCTCAGCCAGACAGAAAAGGAAGTTCTGTTATGTTTATCAACAGTCCCTGTGTTTCACTTTCTATTTCCCTTATTATGCTGACATTCTCCGTTCAGCTTCTGAGTTGACAACTCTGAGCTGACATCACAGAGGAGATAAATAGGAAGTGAGGAGGGGGGAAAAAAAACCAGACACACGGTGGTATAAGAAGGTGATAATAAATGAGAAGGAAACACAAGCTAACAGAATTCTCATACTATAAAGAAAAGGCGGGATGAAAATTCAAACACTTACCCCCACTGGTATAACTGCAGGAGAATCTGGATGGCTTCATCATACTTTCTGATGGCCAAAGCGAAGTTCCCATTCTTAAAAACCTGGTTGCCAGATTCTTTCAACAGTTCAGCATAAACTGTCGGGTCCATCCTGTGAGGAGAAGGAGAAGCTTGAGGTCAGGTCCACGCAGGGCAAGTGCACCTTCCTGTCTGCACTGCTGAGAATCTGGAGGAGTCTGTTCTTTCTGGCCCCACCCACCTTCAAAGGGCACACTGTAGCAACACCTCTCAACATCAGGGAATCAAGAGTGTCTGACAAAATGATTTCTTTCTCAGTTTTATTCGGACCCGGGGGGTGGTGCGGTGGATTCCACGTCCTCGGTGTTAATGATCTAAAAGAGTCTGCTTCCATGCAAGAGACAGCATAAACCTGGCAGCACTATTCCTGTAAATGGCATTATTACTCTCTCATTCACCCATTTACCCATCACCATGGCGCACAGGAAGGCACTGTCCTCACTGTTCAGATGAGGAAACTGGGGGTCAAAGAGATTGGAGTCAATTGCCTAAAAATGTGCTAACAGAATTTCCCAGATCTGACTAATTTCAATGTTCTGCTCGTGACCACTGTACCACATCACAGCAAAACTCAGTTGATAGTTTTTCTGCTCTCTTTGATGGTGGGACAGGGAAGGGAGACAAAGTTCTAATGGTCTTGATATACAAGTGGCTAGGACACAGGGCCAAACTATTGACTCTACTGCCCTCTTCCTGTCTTTTTTTTTTTTTTGTTGAGGCAGAGTCTCACTCTGTCACCCAGGCTAGCGTGCTAGAGTGCCATGGCATGCTCATGGCCACCATAGCTCAACCTGCTGGGCTCAGGTGATCCTTCTGCCTCAGCCTTCCAAGTAGCTGGAACCACAGACACGCACTACCATACCAAGTTAATTTTTTGATTGATTGTAGAGACGAGGTCTCACCAAGTTGCCCAGGCTCGTCTCGAACCCCTAGACTCAGGCAATCCAGAGTGCTGGGATTACAGGTGGTAAGCCATCACACTTGACTTCCTCCCTACCTTTTTTTTTTTTTTTTTTGAGTCAGAGTCTCACTCTGTCACCTGGGCTGGAGTGCAGTGGCTTGCTCACAGCCACCCTAGAGTCAACCTGTTGGACTCAGGCGATCCTCCCACCTCAGCCTTCCAAGTAGCCAGACTATAGGCGTGCGCTACCACATCAGGCTAATTTTTTTTATTTATTGTAGATACGAGGTCTCACCAAGTTGCCCGGGCTGGTCTCAAGCTCCTGGACTCAGGCAATCCTCTCACCTCAGCCTCCCAAAGTGCTGAGATTACAGGTTTGAGCCATCGCCCCGGCCTTCTTCCTTTCTTAATACTATAAAATAAGCCTTAGAGTATTTGTCCTTGACAAATAAGAAACTCAATAAAAACCTTTCAAAAGGCCACTGGAAAATTATGAAGTAATGGTTCAAGCCTTCCCTACTCAGGGTTTTTAAATAGAACAAAAGGTTGGGCGTGGTGGCTCATGCCTGTAATTCCAGCACTTTGAGAGACCAAGACAGGGGGATCACTTGAGCCCAGGAGTTTAAGATCAGCATAGGTGACATAATGAGACCTCGTCTCTCTCTAAAGAAAAATTGTTTTAATTAGCCAGGCGTGGTGACATGGGCCTGTAGTCCCAGCTACTCAGGAGACTAAGGCGGAAGGATTGCCTGAGTCCAGGAGATTGAGGGTGTGGCAAGCTGTGACAGTGTCACTGTACTCCAGCCTGGATGACAGGGAGCAACTTCAACTCATAAATAAACAGAACAAGAAAGATCGGATCACCTTGCCATCTCCCCTCAGCCGTCTCACCAACCTGCCCCAACCCACCAAAGCCCAGTTAAGTGGCCTGCCCTAAGCCTAGGGCATTCTCAGTGCAGAGTGCCCCCTTTGCCCACCAACTTTAAATTATTCCTCCAGAATTTCTACCCAACCACAGTTGCACCAAAATGGAGGTGGTGATTCTAAAACCAGTTGACTACTCTAGCTCTGAACTGTCTGTAAAATTTACATCTTGAGCAAAATATAAGAACCATAAATAACTAAATAGATAATAATACACAGATTGCTTTAACAAGTTTTAATGAGATATAATTTCTAAATGATAAAATTCACTCACTTGAAGTATTCAAGTCAATGAGTTTTAACAAACTAACAGTCATGTAATCACAACCACACTCATGATAGAGAACAATCCACCTACTCCCAATCTCAGCTCCTGGCGACCACTGATTTTTTATTTTTTTATTTTTATTTTATTTTATTTTTGAGTTGGAGTCTCACTCTCCCGCTCCCGGCCACCACAGCCTCGACCTGCTGGGCTCCAGCGATCCTTCCGCCTCAGCCTTCCAAGTAGCTGGAACTACAGGCGCGCGCTACCACGCCCAGCTCATTTTGATTTATTGTAGAGATGAGGTCTTGCCAAGTTGCCCAGGTGGGTCTCGAACCCGCAGGCTCAGGCAATTCACTCACCTCAGCCTCCCAAGGCGCGGGATTACAGGCTGAGCCACCAAGCCTGACTTATTTTTTTAACTTGAGAAACAACAATTGTACATATTCATGGGGTATATAGTGATGCTTCAATACATTTAATGTATAGTGATCAGTTTAGGGTAATTAGCATATCCATCATTTCAAACAGTTATCTTTTCTTTGTGTTGGGAATGTTCAATATCCTCCCTTCTAGTATTTGAAACTATGTGATTGTAAGCTGCAGTCATCCAACAGTGATACAGAACTGTTTTTATATCCAAACCTCTTTTGGTGAAATTTTCACTCACCCAATATATATGTGCCTCCCCATAGAATCTGTAACTTTCAGAATACTTCAATCCTAATATTTATATAGTACCTACCCTACGGTAGGCATCGTGCTGGACATCAAGGGTTTAATAATGAAAGGATGACCACTATCCCCTTCTTCCCTAAGTTTGTTGTCTGTTAGAAGATGATCATTAAATAAATAATTACATGAGTATTATAGTTGACAGACTTTTATCTTATATTTTTATTTTAAAGATGTGGGGGTACAAGTCAGGGTTAATTACATAAATGGAAATTGTACAGGTAAAGTTTGGGCCTGTGCCAGGCACGGTGTCTCAAGCCTGTAATCCCAGCACTTTGGGAGGCCAAGGTAAGAGGATTGCCTGAACCCAGGGGTTTGAGACCAGCCTGGGCAACTTGGTGAGATCTCCTCACTAACAATAAATCAAATAATCAGCTGGGCGTGGGGGTGCACACCTGTAGTTCCAGTTACTTGGAAGAGAGGCAGAAGGATCACCTGAGCCCAATAGGTCGAGACTGCAGTGGCCGTGAGCATGCCACTGCACTCCAGCCTGGCCAACTAAAAAAAAGAAAGTTTGGGCCTTCCCTGGGTTCCCAGTTCACCTGGTTTGAGATTGGGTACCCTTAATGATGTTATGTGCCCTCCTCCCATCCCTGGCAGTGTCCCACTACTGCCAATCACTTTCTTATAGTATTATGATAAATGTTCAAAATCCACTTATGAGTAGATGAAGTATTCAGATCTTTGTTTCTGTGCTAGATCAACAAGTGTTGTGAAGTTCATATGTTTGTCCTTTTTATTTTTTTATTTTTTTTTTTTGAGTTGGAGTCTCACTCCGTCACCCAGGTTGGAGTGCAGTGGCACGCTCACAGCCACCCTTGCTAGGCTCCAGGGATCCCTTCCGTCTCAGCCTTCCAAGTAACTGGAACTACAGGTACACGCTACCACACGCAGCTATTTTTTAGAAACAAGGGCTCGCCAAGTTGCCCAGACTGATATCAAACCCACAGGCTCAGGCAATCCACTCGCCTTGGCCTCCCAAAGTGCTGGGATTATAAGCTGAGCCACCAAGCCTGGCCTGTTTGTCCTTCTTTATGGCTGCATAATATTCCATCGTATATATGTACATTTTCTTTATCCAGTCCACTTTCGATGGGCAGCACAGTTGGTTCCACATTTTTACTATTATTATATTCTATTACATATATTATATTATTACGATGTGCCAGATATCTTTTATATACAGTAATTTGAGTCCCTCCAGATATTTTCCAGGAAGGGTGATTGCTGAGTCATATGGCAAGTCGATTTCTAGATCTTTTAGAAATTGCCACACCGTTTTCCACAGAGTTGGTGGGAGTGTACTAGTTTACACTCCCATCAACAGTGTAGAAGTGTTCCCTTTCCCCTGCATCCTCTCCAACATCTATTGTTTTTTGAGTTATTGATGATGGCCATCCTGAAACAAGGGCTCAGCCCTTAGGTGGTACCTCAGTGTAGGTCTGGTTCGCATTTGACAATTAATGAGGCTGAGCATTTTTTTCATGTATCTGTTGGCAGCTCTTATATCTTCTTCTGAGAAGTGTCTTTTCATATATTTTGCCCACTTTTTAATAGGGTTGTTTGTTTTTTTTCCTTTTGGCACATTTGAGTTCCTTGTAGGATCCTGGATGTTAGACCTTTGTCAGACATACAGTTGGCAAATATTCTTCCCCATTCTGTGGACTGTCTCCCACTCTCTTGATGGTTTCTTTTGCTTTGCAGAAGCTTCTCATTTTGATGAGGTCCCATTTGTCTATCTTATCTTTTATGGCATTCACTTTTAGAGAACTGATTAAGGATTGCCTACTCCAATGTGTCTAAGAGTGTTTCCTACGTTTTCTTCTAGAATTCTTATAATTTGAGATTCTACATTTAAGTCTTTGATCCATTTATAGTGTTGATTTTTGTGTATGGTGATAGGTAGGGTCCTGTTTCAATCGTCTGCATGTGATCAGCCAGTTTTCCCAGCAACATTTACTGAATAGGTTCTCCTATCCCCGGTGGTTGTCGCTGAGGGCTTTATCAAAGATGAGTTAGTCGAGAAATTGAGGTTTTGCTTCCAGAATCTCTATCCTGTTCCATTGGTCTATATGCCTGTTCTTGAACCAATACCAGGCGGCTTTGATTACTGCAGCCTCATAGTAGAGTTTAAAGTCTGAAAGTGTGATACCTCCCACTTTGTTTCTTTTGTTTGGCTATTTGTGGCCTTTTATGTTTCCATATGAATTTCTGCACTGTTGCTTCCAGGTCTGAGAAAAAGTAGAGAGTATAGCAAAGCATATGACAGGAGAATACAGCTTAGATTGCAGGAGTCAAGGCAGATCTTTCTTGGAATTGACATTTAAGTCAAGATGTAGAAAATAAGCAGTTAGCCTAGT